ACCGATTTTCAGTTAAAAATATCAAAGAGATACTGACTTAGCATACGACAGGAGACAGTTCAGACCAAGTAAGTGGCTGCTTCAGAGACAGACCGTGCTCGGGACACGTCAGTGTGACAGCAGAAATCTCATTTCCTGGTAGAGGTGGGCAGCCTACTAGCAAATAGATATTATAAATGAATGAATGAGTAGAAAAAACTACAGAGTAAAACACACAGTCAATTTATAAGGTGATTACTCTTTCTAAGAGGCCCCTTGGCTTAATTTGGATTCTTCTTTCCAGCTTCTTTAAACATGACCACTGATGGGATGAGCGCCCTTGGAGATAACAGCAGGGGAATATGAATGCTGAAAGTGGAATTGGCGTGTGGAACCAGTTCTGTATTTAGAAACTGGCACCAATGGGATTTAGAACTAATGGCTCCAGGGGAGGGTCTTGAGGTCAGAGAAGAGGATGCTCTGTAAATGGCCCTGGTTGGTGAGTTCATGGGACACACGCTTGACCTGTGTGTCGCATACCTCACTGAGCAGCACAGCCCTGGGCTGTCCCATTCTCCTGGATCTCTAGGAGAAGGATGGGGCAGACACCACGCAGCCCCAGCCCACTTGTCAGGAGCACAAACCTGAAAGCAGCCTACCCGATCTCGGCCTCATCTCCCTGAAGCAGAAGGGGCTGGCAACCTAGTTCAGCCGCATGGCCAATAGGTCAATCAATCATGCCCACATTGTGAAACCCCAATAAAAACTCTGGATACTGAAGTTTGGGTGAACTTCCCTGGTTGGCAATACTCTTGTGTTGCCTGAAGAGGAGGTAACACCATCCAGGGTTCTACCTGGAGAAGACAACAGGAATGTCTGCATTTGGACCCCTTCCAGATCTGTGCCTCCTTCTTTTGGCTGCTTCTGATTTTTTGTTATAATAAAACTATAACCTTAAATTTAAAAAAAAAAAAAAAGCGGCCCAAAGGAATATATGACAGGATTGTTACTTTGAAACGCTTCAGTGTTAATGGTCCTCAGAGAGTACAATGTGTGAAGGAAATTTCTCTCTTTTTACCTCCTCCTTTCCCAGCTTCCCCTTTCTTCCTTCCTAAAGGTGACATTACCAGGGATTTGGGGCTACCTCCTATTTAGTAAGATGGGGTTAAGATAGAGGAAATGGGCGCTGTATCATTCTAGAAATTTACTTGTCCTTTTTCCTGGCCAAGGAGCCACATTAAAAAATCTGGAGCTGAGTTCTCATTTATATTTTAAAAGATTTTAGCTGAACTGGGGGATTCCATTTGTATTACATGGGTCCTACAAACACAGAACACTGAAATCCCTTCATAAAAGTAACACCACAGTTAGGTTTGGAAAAGACCGACTTATCACTAGTGGAAATACTGCCCCCTTCCCCTGCCCCAGACAAGTCAGTTAACTAACACTAAGGGTTTTTATTAAGACATGTGGAGGGAAGGCAGAAGAAGTGGAGAGGGAAAAATTTGAGATTAGAGTGACTTTTATTTAGTTCAAGACAGTGTGTCTTCTAGTCTCTTGAACTGACTGTGGTGATGGCCAGAGACTCAAAGCGGAAGTCAGATCCCAAGGACGAAGGAAGCTCAGGAGAAGCTGAAGAAACTCATTTCCGGATACGCTGAAAATACCTAGGTGGGATGTGTACACAGAACAAACTCCCACCGTCACCCCAGGCCATGAATTTGCAGAACACTCTGAAGAATTTGTACAAAATCTCAGAAGGAACTTGTATGGCCTAATTTTGATTCAAGTCTATGATTCAATGGGTTACAGAACCATGAGCTTGTGGTCACAGATTTACCAAAAACTTCACCAGACTATGCTTTACCCAACTACCTGAGGAAAGCACTGATCATTTTTGCTACTTGGCGGTCGACCTAAACTACTAGGTAAGAGATGAAAACAGGGTAAAGAAGCTGGACCTACTATCCAGTGTCCCTCCTGTGGACTGCCCAGGCATCCTCTGTGCTCTACCCTCCCTACAGCACTGGAACAACCTGTTGACCTGCCTGTCTCCCCAACATTCTTCTGGCCAAGGACTGTGTCCTGCTTATCACTGCAACCTCTCGACCCAGCACAGAGGAGATGGCCAATTATATTCGTGAAATGAATCAATGAATGAAGAGCCGAGTGCTTCCTTTCTAAGGTAATTAATTCTACCTTGCCTAAATTAAGCCCACTTCTTTAAGTGTGAGGAAATGAGTGGCTATATTACCGAGCATGCAGAAATAAATGATCATCTCATTTAATAACGAGCTGGGGCCAATAATAAAAATTGTCTGCCTGTTGCTCCTTAGTTACTGCTCTGCCAAGTAGCCCAATCTGTTAACTGACATTAAAGATCTAATTTAATTAAATCTTGAGCAAGGCTTAGAAAACCTACTGAGAGCACTTTGTTTAATTACAGGCAAGGGGGGCAAGCACCAATCCTATTGATCTGGTCAGTTCAAATTCTATACAGTGAATGTGGGTAATGAAAAAAAAAAGTGGCCCTAGTTGCTTTTCAGGCAACTCTGATGAACTGTGAATTCAGACCTGCTCTAAAACCAGCAAGGGCCATCAAGCCATGTATCATGTGGTGTCACAGAGATGGAAATGAAACCGTACCTCAGTCATTCCAAAGTGTGACACATGATGAAGAACAGAAGAAAATGAACAAGAGACAGATTCCTCCTCAGGGAAATGAAATATACTGGGTGGTGGTGGGTGGAAGGGATCCAACACTGAAAGTCTAGTAAGCTGGCATTCAGAGGCAGCTAGCCAATTCCATGAGACCCACAACTAGTTCTGAAATACAGAAAAATGAGCCATGGGTAGGTGTCCACATTCCTGAGGACATTTCCAGTTGAGGAAGAGACGCAAGTTCTTCAACATTTTATGATGTGGATGTAATGGAAATCCAGATTATCTCAAACCATATTAACTACAAAACTTAAAAAAGGTAGTAAGTGTGATCAGAATAAAGGTTGTCTAAGTGCTTTAGGAGCGTTAACTGATTTTCCTGCCTTCAATAACATTCTTATTCCCCCTTCATGGCAGAGTCAACTGAGGCACAGAGAGGTTAGTAACTTGCTCAAGGCTCACAGTGACCTGGCAGGTCAAGCTGTGATCCCAGGTACATCGTAACAGTACCACCACCTTGTGCTGTTCTTAACGCTGACCTCCAGAGTTGGAGAACATTCTTGGACAGAAGGGAGACTGGCTTTTCATCCTTTGCTTGTCCCCATGCAGAGCTGTCTTCTACATTAGTAACTCAAGTTGAGAGGAGGACATTTATTCTAAACCACAATGTGCAATTACGCCTAAGACCAGCATTTCCTTCACGAAATGTGCACCATCAGAATGTGCACACTAATAGCAAGCACGCCAAATTAGGGCATTAGTCATAACAATCAGGGAGTGTAACCCAGGAAATTCCAGGCGGTGTGGGCCTCAGCCCTAAGTACATTTCATCAGCTTGCCTAGATAAAGTCTTTGCTGACTAGGAGGATTTACACCTGCTGATGCAAGGCTGGAGAAAGGCATTCCGTACAGCTGGGGGCTGAAAACCAGGTTAGGCACGTGAGTTCAGACAAAATCATGCTTTGATAGGAGAGGTGCGAATGCTGGCCTTTTAACTATGACATTAGCCACAAATGAGGATAAGAGTTGGTAATGTTCAAAAATGGTCATTTCTTCCATATTCATGCATAATGGCGACCAAGAAACTTGTGTGTGCATTTAGACTGGCGTACAGAGGCTGACCTTATGGTCTTTAAAAGTAAGGGAGCGGGGTGCCTGGGTGGCTCAGTGAGTTAAAGCCTCTGCCTTCGGCTCAGGTCATGATCTCAGCATTGTGGGATTGAGCCCTGCATTGGGCTCCCTGCTCAGCAGACAGCCTGCCTCCCCCACCCTCTCTGCCTGCCTCTCTGCCTACTTGTGATCTCTGTCAAATAAATAAATAAAATCTTAAAAAAAAGAAAAAGAAAAAAAAGTAAGGGAGCAAGAGTGATGGTGAAGGATGAGGGGTCTACTAGATGTCCTTTCCCCTCTAAGCTGGCTTTATCTGTGTGCAGTATGGCCAGTCAGAACAACTGGAAAGCAAGCTGCTAAAATCGCCAAGACTGAGAAAGAGTAAAGCCAGTCTAGTCATTCAAAGTGAAGTTCAGAGGGTATGTTTCTGACTGAAGAACTCATTGCTCTACTCCAGACTAATCACAGAATCAAATTCACAGAGAAACAAAGAGGTACTTGTGGGTTCCCGAGAAAAACAAAAAAACAACAAAAAAACCTCCGTCTTTAGAAAACAGAGGGCTCTAACAACTCTCTCAAACATGACTCCACTGAAATATCAGCTCCTCTTGCAATGGGTGTATGTCCTAGGCAAGTTGCTCTGGAAGCGGCTGCAGGCCACAGAACCATTTGGTACGTTGGGGAGATTGCCAGGAACGACACACGCGTACATACGTATACACACACACACGCATATGTGTCCGTAACCTTCCTACATGCCCCAGAGGAGAGGACATTTCACGTTAGACTCACTACAGGTGAGAGCAGGTACTACAAATTTCGAGAAAACTTTATAGGAGGAACTGCAAAGGGGAAAATTCTATATATTTCTGTGAATTATAAAATATTATTGGTCTATCTTAAAAGAAGTACACTGTAATTGAGCTTGGGGAACACATGCATATCCTGGAGAATGGTGTGAGACTCACTGCACTGACAGAATTTTACCATCCACTTAGACTTGTGATTCCAGACAAGAGTGTTTTTTTTTGTTTTTGTTTTTGTTTTTTTTAAATCTTACCTGCACATCTCAGCGCTTTCAAACTACTCCCCTCTGGAGAATGACTTCCTGATTAGAAAGGGCAGGAGATTCCCAAGACTGTGAATGCCACAAAATTCTTGGGGTTGCCCTTGGCTCTATATGCTTGTTTGTCTCCCAGCCCCCAAGCCCCAGGGGGAAGGCCTGGCCATGTTGGACTTGGCGCGCTCACCCGCCTTCGGAGCCGGTCCCGCTCCTCCCGGATGGCGTTCATGGCGGCCTTGGTCCTGTTCAGCTCCTCCTCTTTGCTGCACAGCATGGCGGTCAGGCTCTCATTCTCCTCCCTCAGCCCGGCCAGCTCCTTCTCCCAACGAGACCGCTCTTCAGCCAGGTTGGGATACAGGTCCCGGCCAAGTACCCCTTCAATCTCCTCGACTGTCTGGAAAACACAAAGACAAGTCCGGTGGGTTCTCTGGGACAAAGGAGAGGATAAGAAAATAGGCAGGACAGGGAGCAAGTGTCAACAGAGGAGTGGCTTCTATGGTCCTTTCACTGCTAATGGTAGCCATGACTACCCCCAAACCACCCTCTCCCCGTTTTCAGAGAAGGCTCTGTCACTCGCCTGGGTCACAGTCTGTGTCTCCTAACAGTCCCCAGAATCCGAACAACACAGTCCCTATATGGTATGTTTGTCTATCTGTGGATCTAACGGCCACGTCCACACAAATGCTTGAGTCCTCCGTCCATGTTCTGGAGTTGGTAAACACATAGAAGCAGACAGAAAGCTCGTTAGTGGGCTTCACAGTGCAAGTGTGAAGTTGCAAACAGCATACAAAAACTAGCTTGAGGTTTCCCAAATTATAGGTCTCCCGTGTTGCAACTCCGAGATGGCAGAAGTCACATCACCATTTCCAGCTTTCGGTGTCATATCAGAATTCAGAGGGTGTGAATGAGGTTCAGTCCCAAGATGTAAAAGACAAAAATAAACCTCAGTGACACAGAAAAGACGAAGCTCATTGTGGATGCTTCTAAGACAGCAGGGATTTCATTAATTAATAAGACAGCTATGAGCTAAAAAGAATAGACTCTTAATAGTACTTGGAGAGATTTTTACAAATTCATGTAAAATGTAGTATTAATGGAGAAGAGACAAGCATAAAATTAGGGGGAAAAAAGGAAGAAGTAATTCTGCTTGGTTTCAGAAACTATTCGTTCTCATCCGCTGCCCTTCGGCATAGAAGGCATAAGCCAAGTGATATGGAAAAAAGAGGGAGGAGTACCATGCAGGGCAGCAGGCAGATGTGAGGAGATGTGAGGAGAAACAGGTGGTCTTAAAAACGTAAAAATGTGAGGGGATTACACCGTTGGATGCCCGAGTTGGTTCCACGATGAAGATGTTAGCCAAGTCTTGCCTCCACTTTCCACATGTGGGGTTTCATCCTTCCCCTCAGATCTGAAGCTCTTCTCAGCCCTGCTCCAGGGCCACTCCATCCCTTGCTGGCTGGCAGAAACCCTTGACCTCCTCCTGCTGAGGGAGGCTGAGGCCAGGACTCAATGCTGAGTCCTCAGTGCTGAGACCAGGACTAATACCCAAGGTGACATTACAATCAAATACAGGGCCTGGGGGACTCCAACAAAAGAAATGCCCGAGGTTGCCTCTCCAAACCACATCAACTATATATTTATAATTGAGATGAATAAGATGGAAAACCAGCCTGTTCTAAATATGAATCATGGTTTACCAGGATTCCTATGGATAGAAACTTGGGCCTAGTGTCGAAGGGTTTTTCAATTAACGTGTCACATTTTTCTTTTATGTAGGCGCCTCCCAGATTTTTCAGTCTGAACTGCCATGCCTAGTTGCTAAGCTGTGGTGAAGTCATATAAGGATACCAGAGGCCCAGTATCAATAGGCCTTCGCATTCCCATTGCTCATGAGGAGCCTGGGCAGACGCAGCCCATTCCTCTCTCGTGCTCCTGAGGCACCAAGATGGATGGCTGTGGAAGGGTGGCTGAGGCCTCGTCCAGCGTGCTCAGGATAGATGACTCACTCAGGCCCTGAACTCCCTTCCCCATTATTGGCACCATGAATCGGTAACTTCTGAATATACTAGAGGCCTCAGAGCTCAAATGAAACTTCCGAGTTAATCCTACAACTTGCGAGTGCTGCGCTAAAATGATACGGTTCAATCTAGGAGTCTAAGATTTTTAACAAAATCGTCATTTTTGCTAAAAAGCCAGAGAGTGATCTTGACGCCCAACAAAAATCTACAGGGCTCCTACCTCTCCCTGGTGGTCCTAGTATAGTATGGTTTTCTTAGAAACACTCATTCCTAACAGGTATTGAACAAAACCACACTTCAAAAGAAGGAGATCTGACCCGTTTCCCTCGTAGGCTCTCACAGAGCCAGCCAGGAGGCAGGGGGCGTATACCTTGATGGCCAAGTCACAGTGCTCACTGGCCGTGGTGAGCTGCTCGATGTGCCTGTCCACCTCGGCCACGGAGAGGCTGCAGCTGCTCTTCTTCCTGCAGCAGACGACATTCTCCAACCCCGTCAGCACCCTCTGCAGCTCGGAGTTCAGGTCACTGCAATTATCTGGGAGTGAAGGTGGACACGGTGAGGTCAGCAAGCAGCCGGGCAATGAACGCGCTCCGTTTCACCGTGAGGAACCCAGTCAGGTAAAATGGGGTAGCAATGGAGCTTGATGTTCTAGACTGTAATGCGATGAGGCCTCATGTCACAGGCTACTGGCTCCACCTCTGAGGTTCAGAGCCAAGGTAAAGCCTTTAGTAAGGAGTTTCAGACCACGGTCATTTTCCAGCCAGCCATGTTACACTAAATGTTCTGGTCTTTCACTGGAAGGGAGCTCTGTCTCAAGTTCTTTGGTAAGAACAAGGAAGGGTCTCACAAGAGGCTGCTGGGACTTCAGAAGCCTTCTGGTCAACCTTCCTCCCTAGCCATTCAGACAAGTATGACTCCAGAAAGAGTTTCAGCAAAGATCTCAGAACTTTACTCAACAAAACAAAAAGGCCCAGAGTAAGAAGAGACACTAAGCATTCAAAATGAATGAATGAATGAATGAATGAATGAATGAATAAATAAATAAATAACTGTAAGAGACAGTCCTTGCCTTCAGTGAGAATCTAATCAGGACTTTTTCCTGATATGACCAAGCAATGTACTCTACCATTGCAATTTAAACCACTTTTTCCTCAGGGCAAAAGCAAACTCTTGTATTTAAGTTCATACTGTTCTCCTTGTGAAGGTCTTATAAGTCATTCTAATGACATGATTCTGAATTTAAAATCTGGGTTACTTTTTTTTTTTTTTTTTAAAGAGAGAGAGAGAGAACAGTGTGGGTACGGGGGGACGGGGGAGAGAGAGAATCCTAAGCAGGCTCCATGACTCGGGGCTTGATCTCACATCCCTGAGATCATGACCTGAGCCGAAATTAAGAGTTGGATGCTTAACTAACTGAGCCACCCAGGTGAAAGCTCTTGGTTACTTTTAATTTCTGGACATCTAGGGCCTGGTCTGGGAAGAAAAATTAATTATAATCTTAGTATGAGCTACAAATATTTTAGAAGATAATTCTGCTGGGGGAAAAAAATCCCCTTAAAGTCAAACACAAGTAACTTTCTATTTTGGGTTATAGAAAGACAGGTGTTAAACAGCCTCTCCAAGTGCATTCCTCCCCTACACCCAGTGTGATTCCTACGTGAAAGAAGCTCAACGTCTTCCAGTTCTCATCTTCACTCCTCCTCCCTTCTCATCCTAGCTTCCGTGCACTAAAACAGTCCATTGTTTTTGGTGCTTACCGTTGGAAGACACCAAGAAACTCAGTACTATAGTAACGGTACATGAGAATCTTTTGGTCAACCTTATTTGACTGCCTGGATCTCTAAGCTACCTGAATCTAAAGAGAGGACTTTCCTCTGAGGCTTTCAGAGCAACCAATGGACCCAATATTCCGATTCCTTTTCACACCTGTTCCTTCCCATCTCTGTGAATGGCACCACCATCCGCTCAGTTACTCAGGTTACCTGTCAGGCAAGCTTCATCTCTTTTTGTCTCACATCCTAAACCCAATACACCTTGAGAGCGCCACCTCCAAAACTTATCCCCAAAGGGACCTCTTCTTACCATCTCCACCAATAGCGCCACAGTTCAAGCTACCATCACTTCTTTGCTAAACCACCCAAACAACCACCAACCTCCACTCCCCACACTGCAGTCAAAGTGAACCTCTCAAGGACATAAGTCCAATGTTACTCCCCTAGCCCAAGCCACCTAATGGCTTCCCACTGTCATGCAGCTCAAGTCCAAACTCCTCACCAGAGTCTGTAAGACTCTGCATGATCAAGACTGATGAGGTTTTCAATCCAGGTTGCACCGTGGAATTTTCTGCAGAGCTTTTATAAATTACCCATGTCCGGGCCCCACCCCAGACCAATTAAATCATAGTCTCTGGTGGGTGGGGCTTGACACTGGGGAAATTTTTAAAGACCTTCAGATCACTCTCACATGCAGCCAGGGTGAGAACCACAGATCCTGACCTTGACTCATCTGCCTGCCTCCCCCTCACTCGCTCTGCTCTGTTCACACTCCTGCCCTTCTCTCCATCCCTGGAGCATGTCAATCCCCTGCCTGCTTCAGGGCCTCCTTCACCTTTGCTGTTTCCTCTGCCAAGACTGATTTCCACCCAAGTCTCTGCTTACTCAGCTCTCAGTCAGATGGGACCTCCTCACTACGCTCTTCCCTACGGAAGGAATGGTTCTGCCCTTCTCCCTGCTCAGTCCCTACTCCATTATCCTATCTTCTTTGTGACAGTTACCACTATCTGATCTGACTTATGTGTTATCTCTTCTCCACGGAAATGTGCGCTCCGTGAAGAAACTCTGATCTTCCTCACCACTGTATCTCCACCACAGAAGAGTGTAGGCAATCAAGAACTATTTTCAAGTGAGCAAATATGATCCTCACATCAGGTATTTAAGAGACAGACTGGAAACCCAGACTGTCAGCAGCAGCAGGTTTTACATCAACCTTATGCTTTCTGTCCTCGTCAGAGACCATGCTCTGAGTTGCTAACCACTGGGGGACAGTCCTCACTGCAGAAGGCCCTCTGGAGAAGGGGTACAGGTGCCCACCATCATCTCAAGGTAAGCAGGTCCAGCATGTGTGCCACTGGAACTCTCTCTGGTCTTGGATTTGATGATTAATTCTAAGTAATAGTTACTTATACACTCCTGATTTATTTGCATTATTAAGTGCTTCTGAGCAGGATGAGGAAGAAAGATGGCTCTATTCAGCCGTTCCATCTGGAGTTCCCTAGCACCGCTCCACCTGCTACAGCGATCACACCAGACATGTCTGCTCCGGGCCCTTCTGGCAGGACCTGAGAGGTGGAAGCAGGCTGCATGCCAATGATGTTGGGCTCTCGGGAACAGGAGGAAGGTGTACCAATCTGGCCAGTACTTCTTTCTCATTGCTTAACCAGACAGTTGCTGAGTCCTGGCCTCAGGCTAGCAGCAGGGTACAAAAATAAGTAAGAGACTCTCCTCAACCCTGAGAGGCCCACAGATGGAAATGCCACAGTCTCTTCTCTCAGCTGTTCACTAGCCTCCTGGGGAAAGGGACCACAGAGAATCTAGTGCTGGTTCACGATGGGGAATCGGGAGATGAGGAGGGTGTGTAAATTAACATCCAGGTTGAAAAGAGCTGAGCGTCTTCCCTTTGAACCAAAGAGGGCCACTGGTGCTTTCTGTGGTCTTAGGAAGCCAAAATTCCAAGGCACAAGCTGGATGATGAACTCCACACACTCCCGCCTGTTATCCACCGAGTTCTGCCCTGTGGTTTGACACAAGTCCCACTAGTGATTGGGTGATGTGTGGCTGTCTTTCTGTCATTCTTCAGTTTAGGAGGACAAGGTGGCTAGGCTGGCAGGAGCTGCTATCCTGGGTCCCCCGAGTGCCTCCCCCTGGCACCAATCACTCACCACCGTTTGCCCCGAGCATCAGTGCTGCTCCACGCAGGGTGGAATTCGCTTTCAGAGTCTGTGGCAAGTTCCTCTAGATATCGAGTCAGAATAAATTCTCAATCCCTCCTCCCGACCTACAATGCTCTGCCTGGTCTGGCCTCTGCTACAGACGAGCACGTCAACACCACAGGCTGAGGCAAGTGGGAGTCTCTACAAGAAAGATTAAGGGACCTCTTGTTAAACCAAGGGACCAGAGGAGCAGGATAAACGGAGACAGGGACCAGGTATTCCAGACTGTGCACAAGGTGCCTCATTTAAAAATCAAAGCCACAATGAGATACTACCTCACACCCATTAGGACGGCTACTGTTTATAACAACAATAGCAACACAAAATAAGGTGTTGGTAAGGATAGATAGAGAAGGGGCGCCTGGGTGGCTCAGTGGGTTAAAGCCTCTGCCTTCTGCTCGGGTCATGATCCCAGGGTCCTGGGATCGAGCCCTGCATCGGGCTCTCTGCTCAGCGGGGAGCCTGCTTCCCCCTCTCTCTGCCTGCCTCTCTGCCTACTTGTGAACTCCGTCTGTCAAATAAATAAATAAAATCTTAAAAACAAAAAAAGGATATAGAGAGAAAATGAGCGTCCTTGTGCCCTATTGGTGGGAATATAAAATGGTGCAATTGCTGTGAAAAACTCTATGGCCGTTTCTCAAAAGTTAAAAATAGAACTATCCTATCCTCCAGCAATCCCATTTCTCAATCCAATTTCAAAAGAGTTGGAAGTGGGGCTCAAATAGATACTTGCACACCCATGTTCACAGCAACCTTACACACAATAGTCAAAGGCCGAAGCAGCCAGAATATCCACTGGCCAACAAACGAACGGAAAAACAGAATGTGGCACAGAAACACAAGGGAAGGCTGCCCAGCCTTCGAGAGGAAGGAAATGTGGACCCACGCTACAACATGGATGAACCCTGAGGACATTATACCAGAAATAAGCCAGTTCCAAAAGGACAGATGTTACACGACTCCCTTGAAATGATGAGGGGGCTAGAGCAGAGCTTCCTGGGGGCTGAGGGAACAGGGCAACTGCTTACAGACACACGGTTTCTGTTTCGGAGGAGGAGAGAGTCCTGGAAATGGATGGTGGTGAGGGTCGCACAGCTCTGAGTGCACTCACTGCCACCGAACCCCACACTTGCTGTGAGGGGGACGCGCAGGCTGACCTGCTGGAAGCACCTCAGGCCATGCGGTGCCTTGTTTATTCCAGAAAGGTGAAGGCTTGGCCCCAAGTGCCGACGACCAAGAGGAGGCCCTTCATATAGGGTACACATGCTTTTAACAGAGGTTATTTTTATCTTTCCAAAGAAGAATTTGAAGTAGGCTGTAGCAAACACCCGCACATAAGGGGGAAACAGAGTGACCAGATGCAGGGAAAGGCCAAGGATGCCAGCGGAGGCTCACACAGCTGCTGGGGCTGACTCTTCCACTTAGCCCTGAGCTTCCTGGCAGCCAGAGCGAAAATGAAACCTCTCCTGTCAGAGAGGAGGAAGCATGCCGGTTTCCCAAGACAGACAGTGGCTGTTCAGCGACAGATGCTGAAAGAACTGAGGTA